CGAGTGGTCCAATAGAGTCGCGCGACTCGTTTCGAGTCAGTTGAACCGACATAGATTGATTCGTAGTTGAGTATTGACCCTTAGGATTAGCAACGGTAATCCTGCTTATCATCTCAAGTATGGTAAACTACCACAGCCAATGCTCACAAGTTGTGAGTCACAACTTGCCCTCTACCCAACCACACTTTGGATGCAGATCCATTCACAGAGTTTAGAGGGGCCGTTTCTCAGGGATCTGCTGGGTGTCCACAGTACCCCAGGTTGCTCTCAGTCATCCGCGTCTCTAGCTCTTGCGCTGTTTGGAGGCTGTGTGAAGTCTACCACTTGGAAGATTGCGCTGACCGGATGACGATGATATTTCGAAACCGATTCAGTTTAACTGAACTTGAACCCGAAGCTGATGCTCGAATGTTGCGCCCCCGTGGAGTGAGCTAAGTTTGCCCCCACCTTATAGCCTATGAGAGATTGGTATTTATATGATACTTCAGAGTGTCCTCAGGCCTCTTCTTGCGTTCAGCCATTGCAACTCCTGCGCCTGAAGCTCGGAGTCTAGCAGCCACTTCATAGTCCGCAATAACAGACGGTCAAACTCGTATACCTGTGAAGGTTCAAACCAAATAATCAATGTAGTTCGATGACACTATGAAGGTGATTTGGGACGTATTTCGAAGTAACTGTTCTCAATGCGCCATAGTTATCTGAGACAAGTAGCAAGTTCCCATTGGAAACTATAGAATCTATGATATAATAGACAACTCGCCTATCATATCAACTTCACTTCACTACATCTACATTTCTCCCACTAAAATTGACCCAAGCAACACTCGCCCACAGAAGAAACGAAAGGAGGCATATACTCAGGCATCGACGATGTAAGGCTGTTAATGATAACAACAGTGGTTTAACCGTTACTACTCTTCCTCATGAGGAACTAATACACGTAATAATTCTACATCCTCCTCGCCATTTACGCGCCCCAGGAAACCGCAGCCACGCCGTTGGCACTATAGTGGACACCGTTTTTCAAAGCGTAAGATTTCCCATTCAAACAGAGGGGCTCCACACCATCAACGAGCTCAGCCGTTGAATGCGACATCACCTGCATACAAGCCGACACTCAGACCCTCATAGTCCCCATCGTTAACTACGTATTGCTTCAGCATTTCTTGCACCTCCTTATTGCCACCACTTAAAGTGTCCAACTCCTTCATGTTGAAGTGAGGTCCCATACGAGTGATACTCACAGTCACCGAGTTCTCTTTATCGATATCGAACTTCTCTTGCACTATCGTCACCTGAAGACTCCAGTCCATCTCTGTGTTGAGCCAACCCAACCTACCTCGTGGCCCTGCAGATCCTTAGCGTTCATCAAAGGCCTCCTCAACAGACGGTCGATATAATCCGACTTCTTTTC